TAAAAGAAATCACTTGTCAAAAATATGCTTAATGATATTGTAAAAAACGTATGAGTACTACTTTAATTTTATCAAGACAAACTGCATATATTTTTTCTTTAGTTCTTTTTGGAAAACATATCGTATAAGCGACACCTGCACATGTTGTTTATTTCAAATAAACAATAGATAGATTCCCACAGAACGGTGATTTACAGAATTGACACAAGTAGGTCCTTGAGTGGATCCCACGTTAGCCCCAAGACGTTGGTCTCTAACTAGAAAAGTAAATGCTTGAGCTTGAGTGAGAAGGGCCTCTTCCCCCCGCAGGTATTTTGCCTGTATGGTGTTTACCAGGTGGGACCCTCGATCCAGAAGGTATGCCACTCTACTATCTATACATGTCTGCCTCCCTTGAAAGCTCTTGGTGCTGGACAACTACTTGAGTACAAGACAGCACTGGTTGATCTGTAATTCAGAAAAAATGAGGTATGGATATTGTTTAATGAAGGATCGGGGAGATAAACTCCTCATTACCAGAGAGCTATGGAGGAGCGAAAGCGAAACAAAAGCGAAGAGCTAGAAATTTGGATGAAGGCGAAGAACCCAGAGTTGGATAGAAGTCTGTAAGGTCTCTTGACCATTGGGACCATTAGTCTCGCTTCGTTCTCAAGCCTGGAAGATTCAATTTCTAGAGTTCGCATAGGATCCCCGGATTATAGTTTTTTTGTTTAAACCCGGCAATTCAGACCTTAGAGAATCTGTAACTTGAAATATCTTTGATTTCCTGTTAGTGAACATAGAGTGGAATTTACTTTGTTGGATGGTAACGGAATGCCCCCCCTAAAGCATCCATTTCGTCAAAGAAGGACTACGCAGGCACACTGACTACTCTGATTGGGCGTGGACTGGGAAAAAGTAGCAGCTAAAGGAAAGCTAAAAGGTATTGGCGAATAAGTAATGGAGGATCTGATATAGATTAAAAAGAGGGAAAGCTAAACTAGCAAGCAAGCCACCAAACCTTATCTTCATCTCTGAACTCAAGCCTTCCCTTCAATCGAGTTCTCCATTTTATTTTTTATTCATTTGTCACATATAGGTATAGGCGAATAAAAGAGAACGATTTTCGAAGCTGTACTAATGGTAAGAAGAGGGTTTAATAAAAAATACAGGGAAAATGAAACTTTTTCGATTCCTATGTCCGTTTATGGGGAGAAATCCTTTTCAAGCAAAAAAGACGGGAAAATGAAAGTGGAGATTGAACGCTAGAAGGCGAAGATAGGAAGCCACTTCTACTCAAGCATGGGGATTCGTTTACGGGATTCGTTTAGTGGGAAGAAGAAGCCGAGGCAATCTCGATTGAAGCCAATTCCAGTTTTTCCTACTCAATCTTTTTTATAGAAATAGCACTTGGTCAAAGGGGAACATAAGAGGCCCATGCTAGCTCCACGCGGGAAGAAGTCTTACAAGTCTTACTAGAGCTGGGTAGCCAAGCTAATCCGATGAAGGGATTTAAGCCGTATTCGTTTTGATTAGTTGTCCCAGGGAAAGGAGTAAGTATTGGCTGTTGGCATGTCCGAGCTAATTTTATATGAGGAACTACTGAAAAAAAAAAATCACTTGCTGCCGTTACTCTTCAGTTTTCTGTTGAGGTCTATCCTGTAGAGGTACTCAAATTGGATCAGTGATCGATTTCTAGGTTTCATTGTAAACCTAATTGGTTACTTCCAATTACGCAAATCAATAGTTCAAACCGCACTCAAAGGTAGGGCATTTCCTTGGATAAACAAACCCACCCGGTGGACTGCCGAGCTACAAGTCCCACGACACAGGAGCGGGATTCTCTAAAAAGCCAAGGTCGAGGGTGGCCAAGAGGGCCCACTTGGAGACTTGGAGTAAGGTCCGACCTTATCCTCCTCTCTCGTCCCGCCATTCCGAAGGAATGGAATAAAGGGACGACACTACTTGTATTAACAGCCCACCATTCTGAAGGAATGAGATAAGGGCCGACCTTGATTTTTGATACAACCATACCTTACCGGAGGTGAGATAGAAGGGAGAGGAAGCCCTCGTAGGCAGTACATACATGAATCTACGGGAGCCCATAGGGTGGGGCATGGGTTTAGCCTTAGATCAAAAAGAAACTAGCGAGTGAAGTGCTTAACGGGTGTTAAGCACAAACAAATAAGAACAAGCAAGGGGAATGGAAGGGGGTTCGGGGGAGGGGAAGGGTCCCTAGCATGCTCTTATTTCGTCTTTCCCTTAATAAGTCATCAAATTTGGTGCTTTTTGATCCCCAGTTGCTATGGAGAACAAAGGACGAAATACAATAGATTCCTCTATTTAAGTGGTTCTCGCTTATTCTTGATTTATAATCTTTTTAATTAAGAATAAAAGATAAAAATTTAGATTCGTGCATTTTTAAAGATAAATTCTGTAATTTTTTTTGTCCACGAGTTGAGTGGGCCAGAGTCGTAGCCTCGGCCCGGCCAGTCACAGCGGGACTGAGAACCCAGTAACATTTGTTTCTTCAAACTTGATTTTAGCTGTCAAAAGTCATTACAAATTTTCCTGTATTTGCATTGAAAATTTAAAATTTAGAAGACAAATGAAATTACAGTCATAAAGTATTAATGTTATTCTAAAACTTTCTCACCGGTACGTATCATAATGATCGACTTTCCCTTTTTTTCTTTCGCGAACTTTTCTTCAAATTTTGTTCAAACAACTGGTAAGTCAGCAATTTACCTAGCTAGATTAACTATAATAGTGAGGCTATCAGCTGAAAAAGAAAGCCCAATTACTTTTTACCATTTATTATTTTGAAATTTTTATGATAAGGTATGAAGAACTACCTCTTAAGCTTTGTTTTAAACAGTTAAATTTAAAACTAATTCTGTTAGATTAGCATAGTTTTTCAGTTTAACATGATTTCAACTAAATTTAACATTAATAAACATACAATATACCCTAGATAGGAAGCTCATTATTTTCTCCTTTTTTTTTGTTGCCAAAATGGAATATTTTTCCATGATATAACAAACTCCCAAGAGAGCAAACTACACATGAAATCATAATGTGTGTCCTTTCACGATCAACATCCCAAGCAGTGTAAGCAATCTTTTCACAAGTTCAAGTAGTTTCATGATATGGGTCATTTTGGTTCAATTTTAAAAAACATTAACGTTCATTTCACTGATTTGAGTTTAAAATTTGAGTTTTGTTACAGTAAAAAACTCTCAGAAACAGTCACATTTAACTTTTTTACTACAGTAAAAAATTTTCACATAAAATTACATTTAAATTCAAATTAAAAACTCAAATTAATAAACTAAACGAGCTCTAATATATTAAATGAAATGAGTACTGAGTCTAATTTCTCAGATCCCCAAAACTCCATGCATTAAACTTTTTCCAGCTGGAATATTGAAGAAGTAGGTGGCGCCATTAAAAAGCTAATTAATATTCTGCACAGAACATAATATCCAGTTTGTCTTCTTTTTTTTTTTTTTTTAATTTCAAAGCAATAACATCATGTGTTTTTATGAGGCTATCTTTGGTCAAGAATACACGAATGTTCTTTAGCTTCTCACGAGGAGTAAATATTACTTTTTGAGATGCGACTAACATGCTAAAGCATCCTAGCCCGACCCCTTTTTCTTTTTTTTTTTTTTTTAACTTGGTGCAATATATTTTTAAATTCACCTTTATTCTAGCCTTTCTTTCGTATGTAATTATTATTCTAATAAAAGTTAACGATTGAGATCTCTCCTGTACATTTTGATTCCGTTAAATAATATTTTACTTAATGAATGAAACGTGTGCTTTTATGCGGGTGATCATCTTTTTGTATGTGGCTGTCCGATATGATTGGTTGCATTTCTTTGGGAAATCATTATTGTGTGTGTTCCCATATGGTGATGGTCACAGAAAGAATTTGATCCTAATCTTCTTTTCTTTGGACGCTCGTCAAAAAAGTGCCATATTAAGCTTAAAGAAATATATATATATATATATCTAATAATTTATATATAAGTGTCTATATATGTAGGTATTAATCAATCTTTTCACATCACACAATTTGATTTCTTGTAGAAAAAGAGAATGCCAGATCTCCATGGCTTCTGTTTCAAGCAGTTTATCAAGAAAGAGAGCCAACAAACAACCAAACATCAAAACAAGGTTTTCTAATTTTCCTTTTATTATTACTATTATTTGCCACAACAAGTTTTAAGACAAATTTTGATAGTGAATTAACTGAAAACCAACCCCACAAGAGGACTTGAGTCTGCCAATTCTTACGTGTTTGTTTCAAGTAAATTCCATTATATGAGTTTTTCACGAGAATGATTACAAGACAATAGTACATCAGAGTGAGTGAGGGATTGGATATCCAATTTATACCTCCTCTATATGTTATTTTAGGTAGCTATTATAGCCCTTTAAACTTTCTTTATAATAGTTGGGCTTGTGGAAAGCATTCTGAATTTGGAAAGTGAGTTACCAAAATATAATCATATCCCAAATAACATTTCCTAACAAGACTTGAAATAATCCATGTTATCATATCATTCCCTACTCTTTACCGCCACCTGGTGTTCTATCATTGGAGGGGTTAGTTATTTTGATTACCCAAGTCTCCTTCACTGATAACCCTATTTTTGTCAGTTTGTAGTCCACCTAGGAAGCAAGGTATAAATCTAAAGATCAATAATCTTTATCAATTTCCACTTGTTAGAACTTGAATGCTTTCTTACCCATAAGAAAAAATGGTTAGAACTTCCAAACAACCATAATTTGATTTGTTGACCCTATTTACCTTCACAACCGTAGAGAAAGATATAGAAGAGAGAAGGTGCAACAAGATTTTTTTTTTTTTTTTTCATATTTGATTGCAGGATTTCAAGAATACACCTCAGAACCTTCACGTCTGAAAATTCCTAATATTTTGTCCAAGTATCAATCTACAAATTGACAATTTTACCACTATCAAAGACCCTTGTGAATTCAGAAGGACAGAATTGAGAAGAATGACAATCACTGTTATAGTGAAAAACCCCATTTATTTCTGAGGAACAGAATCATGACAGAGTAAAGGGGTCCTAAACATTTGCTAAATACAGAAAAGAATGATAAGGAGAGAATAGCAAACCAACAGGAGACAAAAACCAAAACACATCCCCACACACACAAAAAACAAAGACGTGGTATTTTTATGGCTTAACTCAGAGAAGATCCCAGGTGAATCTAGGTTGGACTGGCTTATTGGCGGCCAAGGCAGATGTGGATGTTGAAGAGGTCACGACCAACGGCGAGGGCGCCGGGGCAGAATCGAATGTCTCCCAATTCGTGGTAATGACAACTGCTCCTGATGTTGAATGCCTGGAAGGAGGCTGCGGCTGTGGCTGCTGGTGCGTTGGTGAGTTTCCAAACGAATGCCTTGGCGAATTTCCAAGCGAACTCCTCGGGGAATTCCCAAACGAACTCCTGGCGTCCTGCTCTTGAATCGCTCTTGGCCTGTGGCCGTTGGAGTAAAAATGTCTTGGTTGTTGGTCTTGGTTTGGTGGTGGTGTTTGCTTTTGCCCATTGGAGGACAGCCTTTGTTGAACTTGTATTGGGGTATGAACTCCATTGCTAGCAGGCATTGAGTTCTTGATTTTCAACATGTCAAGAGTTTCTACATACTTTTGAACTCTCATCACCTTCAAAATAACCATTAATAATAACATTCAGTGACTAAATACTAAAGACTAATGGACACATCAAGCTGAACACAACTATCTTATTCAAGTTTCAAATTCAACAACTTGGAATTCCCAATTTTAAAAAAAAAATTAAAATTACCTGCATTTTCCTCTGCAATTTCACATCTCCATCCGCCATTATTCCGTCCAATTTAAGCAGTTCATTCATCAACAACTCAATCAGATTAAGCACATCAGTTTCCGCGACTTTACCGCCTTTAGTAATCACGGATTCGAAAGCTGAAACCTGCCATTTTCCCCCAACTTAACATCAATTACAAGCGAACAAACAAACAACAGAAACTACACATATAAAAAACAATGCACAAAAATAAAATAAAATACCCGGCCAGCGAGCCTATCAACTTCCAAGCTGATCTCCGAGATGGACTTTGAGGCCTTCTCCATCTTCGCATTCCGCCGCATCTCGAGATGCCTCTTCTCTTGGCTAAGCGGGTCTTCAACCAAAACAATCTTCGATCTGTCCTTCACACCTGAAATGTCCAGAAAAGCCTTCGAATCTCTCTCCTTGTCTTTGTAAATCAGCTTCTGATCTTGGTGGTGCAAACCCGTCGGTCCCACCAGCATTTTCTTCAATTCCCCTGCAATCAATCAAAAATAGAGGATTGTTTTCTTTTCTTTTTTTCTAAATTTGCAATTTCCAGTTTTGATGATGAAAATTGGAACTCACCGAATGTGGCTTGGGAACTGATATGGATTTCGTGGTAGGTTGACCCGTATTTGACCCTAACTCTAATTGTCGGCGGAGGAGCTGAGTTCTGATCGGAGTCGTTGCGCTTCTGGACCAGCATTCCTCCGGGTCTCATCTCCCACTCCGACGGCGTTGACTCTGCTCCGCCGCCGGCGGACCCTCCGTTTATCTGAGAAATACCTGTCGTTTTGGTCCTCATCTTCATCATCTTTTGTTTTCTCTCAGAATTTCTATGGTACTAAAAATATCTCAGATCTTTGAGGATTTCGGTTCGTGACGATCCGCGTCGAGAATCTGAACTACCCAATTGGAAGAGAAACTGCTAGACCCTGCTTTAGAAGCCTCTGACCGCAGCATTACACGAGTCAAATCCCGAGAGAGAGAGAGAGAAAGTAGCGAGACGAAATACCAGAGAGAGGGGGAGAGAGAGAGAGAGACAGGGGCTTTCCTTTTTTCCTTTCCTTTTTCTTTTCTTTTCTTTGCCGAATCAATGGCGTCTCAAGAAAGCAAAAACCAAACCCATCAATGTCGAAACAAATAAAAACCACCAAACTCGTCCGGAGAATTTGACGAAACCCAGAACTTGCCGGACCTCAAAGCGCAGATCTTTACAGCAAAATGTTGACCAAATTGCTCAAAAAATTTGCCTTGGATTAACCCAAAAAAAAAAAAATCCCAAGAAAATTGTAGAAGCCCAATAATCTGAAACCTGCGGTTTTCTCCAATGGAAATGAGAATCCAAGGCGAAAAATTCTCTCTTTCTGTCTGTCTCTCTCTCTATATAATTCTTTGTTCTGGAAAACACGGTGAGGAAGAGAAAGAAGAAAATGGAAACTAATATAAAAACGAGTGGACAGCTAACTGAGCTTGTTGGGACCTTCTTATATACATAAATTAATAATGAATTATAAGCACATAATTACTCTACACATTATTATGAATAATACTCATATTAATAAAATAATTATAAACTAAATATAAATAAATAAAGAAGGAGAAAAAGAAGAAGGTGACTACGAAAGCCGCCGATGCTTCTATTTAACTGTTAAAAATATCGAAGACATGCTTTGGGTTTCCCTCACGGAACTATGGAGTATGTTCCGGTACTTTTCGGTTCTTTGTCAAACCGTAACGTACAGGCTCGAATTTTGTCCACGTGTGCGGTTTGAGGACAATTTTGTCAATTAGATAGCAAAGCAATCATTCTCATGTTATTATGAAGGTTTGTGTTTGGCCACGTGGAAGATTTTGCTGAGGTGTGCGGCGCTAACTCTGTGGTAGTTGGTATGGTTAACTAACTAGCTATGAGGATTACTAGTAAATGCGCCTAGCTATAAACCGGGAGTTTTTATTTTTTTTTATGTTTTTTTTTTTTTTTCAACAGCCGTAATTTTAACCCAACCCAAAACAACAACAAAATTCTCTGATACGCTTAGATTTAAGGATTAAAAACTTAACTTAACAGTGCATTAACATGCTATATAAAGTCTAAAAAAAGACAAGAAAATTAACCTGCCTCTTTTTTGACAAAAATTAATCTGCCTTTTTGGTCCCTTTTTTTTCAATTTTTACTGCTTTATCTATCTTTTCTTTCTCTTTTTTTTTCCCCATTTTCCAAACATGCTTAAATAAGTCTTAACTTTGCTCGACCGCTTTAAGTTTATGTGAAATGACCAAAAAAAGAAAAAAGAAAAGAAAAGAAAAAAGGAAGAGAATTCTTGCGCTTAATGTCAACCATGTTTAAACTATGCCACTAGGTTCCTTGGCAAAATAGAGCTCAAAATTTTTGTATCTCACATTTATTTATTTTTTTACTAGTTATGCTAAGTCTCCTAAATATTTGTTATTTATTACAAAATAAGGAGTTAAGGATCATCTAATATTGTTTACTGGCATTTTATTCCTATATTATTTTATTAGACACTAAGGATCCTATATTATTATTTACGAACACTTTCTCAAATTTAAAAGTTGGGATCAAATTAGGATCATCGGCACCAAAAAAATTATCGGATTAGGTAGTGCCATATCAGTGAGAAAATGAAACGCACGTCATTTTTACAAGTGTATCTGAGGCTCGATCGTTTTGTCGACAAAGCAGCCTCCCTTCGTCACATTATTCCCTTCAAATACATACATGCATGTTATCGAGGAATAAATTGTTATTAACAATAATACAAAAGGTCTTGTTTATTTCACAATTTGAGTTTTTAGTGCCTGATAAAAATATAATTTAAGAGATATCTTTAGCTCCTAATAAAGTAAATCAAAGGGCACAGGATTAGGTGAAAAAAAAAAAAAAGAGTAGCATTGCCAAATTAGTCTCTTATTTTTACGGAAAATTTAAAAATACACCTTAAAATGGTGTCCTCTTTTATTTTTAACCACTTTAATATTAACCTATATATTTTTACCTTTTAGATTAGAGTTAGTTGAGGATATAATTTTTTAAAATTGATACTTTAAGTAAGTCATGTACTTAAAAAGGTATGATCTGTAATTTTCTCTATTTTTTTATTCTTTATATCCGGCCTCTTTTGTGGTATATAAAATATGTCGTTCTTTTATCCACAATTACATATAACTTCATGTTTGCAATATAGAAAGTCAGTCAGTTTACCAACATTTATCCTTCTATTAAAGAAAGAAAGATCAAAAGTTTAATTTATTGAGTTACGCTGCTTGAAAAGGTAGCGAGCGATAAGCATGGCGTGACCGATAAAAAGAATCAGATTTTTTTTTTTTTGGATGGAAAAACCATCAGATTTCATGTACGGGAATCCCCTAATTGTGATTAAAAAAAAAAAAACCCATATTTACTTGCCTTGATAATTCTCATTCATAACTAACGCCTTTTCGTATTTTTCAGTTATAATCGGTTCTCAATGTCAACTTTGTATTTCAAGTATGTATTATCCATTCATCTCCATTTAAATTATTTTTCATAGCTCTAAACCAGTTCGGGGACTAAATTTGTTGTTATGATCATGACAAAGCACATTATTGCACCCCATTAAACTTTAATACATCATAATCACGTCTTCGCCTTAGAATTTTTACATAAATAATACGTATCTATTCTCTTAGAAAAATACATTTCGTGAATGGTTTGGTGGGGGGGGAAAAAAAAGAAGTAAGAGTAATATTTTTCATGAAAAATGCATTCATGAATGGTTTGTCATGCAATATTACAAAAAATAGATTATTTTCTAATGAAACAATAACAATTTGTGCACTTCATTTCTTTATAGAATTGTAATCATTTTTCAACTTGTTTCCTAAAAACGACCAACGCGTTAATTAATACTAATTTCGTCATCTTGCATAAGGTTGGTTAACTAGGTTTTAATCAAATATCAATGCATAAGTCAAGTCTATCTGTAAGATTAAGACTTGTGCTTAAATATGTACAATCAATTTTCTATAATGGTATATCATCATTAAAGGTGTCTTTTGGGGTCCATCGCCATGAACCAAAGGTGTAGTCCAAATCAAACAAATGTCTTCAATGGCTCTATGGACAATACCAAAGGTGTTCAAATTATGCAACGTTAGATTAAAAAAAAAAATTTCTTATTATTTCAAGAAAAAAACAATAATAATACTAATTGTCGGTCCATAAACCATAACTTTTTGTGTACTAGTGCAGCAGTGCTTAGAAGACAAGAATAAAGCCTCCAAAGCCCCTTTTCCTTTTGTGGGGTTGCTCTTGTCCGTCATTATTTTATTTTTTATTTTCTTTTATTTCATTGTAATTGAAAAATGAAAATTTCAGTCCAGGATCCAAATATTTCAAGCTTTCATTTTTTTTTTTTTTTTTTTTGCTTTGTTTTGGAATAAAGAAAATTCATATTTCAAGCTCTAAATGCCAATAAACAGTTGCCACACATTGTGACAAAGAAAAACAGTTGCCACAAATATACATAAATCAATGACGCAATGGTAAATTCCAATATATACACCAAAAGAGGATAAGAAAAAATGAAAAATATACGCCAAACTGGATCACGTCAATGTCTCAGTAAAAACCAAGGAAGAAATACGAATTGCTTACGTCACACTCAAAACTTGGACACGTGGCTGTCGTTGGCACCTTTAACGATTGTACCAAAAATCTATGTAAAACCCATTTCTCTCTGTTCTTGTTTTTTTTTTTTTTTGAATTATTAATTATTATTTTTAACTTTGAACTAGTTCTTACCAAGCCCACCGACACTCTAACACGTGCGACCGACACGAGCGAGCGTGGGCGCCTTTGAGAGGGGCAGGACAGAAAGTCGTCGCCACGTGAGATTCGTGTGAGGGGGTTTGGGATTCTGTGTATTACGTACTTCGATGGAGACGGTGCAACCTATATTGGCTCTGGGCGGCTGTTGTAATGCAATGGTTCCTTTAATTACCTTTTCTTTTTTTTTTTTTTTTCCTATTCTAATGACTTTTTTGTGATTAAAGTAATGGGTTCGGCCAAGACAAGCTATTTTTTAAATACATTTGTTTGGATTATTGTTCGATATTCTCAATTCTATTGTTCCAGGGTAGTTGGTTTCAAGGGATTTTTTTTCCTTTAATTTTCCTCTTGGATTGGGGACAAAATACCGACCATTTTTATAATAATAACAATAATAGCAGCAAAAATTGGGTTTAAACTGTAAATTGTGTGCTAGCGGTTTTGCGGAATTTCTATGGGAATTTTTTGAACAAAGCTACTGTTTACCACTTTTCTCCTATCTCTCTATTTCTTTTCTTTCATTTTTCCTATGAAAAATTGGTCCAAATATTGGACAGGATTCATACATATGAACCGAATTAGTTGAATTATTATTGCAGCCTTGCAGGGACTCGAGCAAAAATTTTAGATATACAAAAAATTAGGCCTATGATGTTTGCTAGAAATATATATATATATATATATACTCAACAATAATCATATTAATTATATAATTCTTTCACAATGTTATAAATAAATAAATAAAGTTGTTAAGAATGCATGAATAAATCTAATTCTTGCCCACTTCAAATTTAATAAAGAGGTATTTGAGCATTTCAAATCCTTTTTAATTCGATAACAAACATAAATGTATAGATTACAATGTCTAATTGCTTTTAATGCAACCACTTCTCGCATAATTTATTAAATAGCATTATTAATCGGCATATTCAAATCTCTAAGATCTCATTCATTTTACCGATTCGAGTTTTCAGTTTTAGGGTTCTACAGTTCAAAACTCTAAAAAAATGTCACATCTAACTTTTTTTACTACAGTTAAAAACTCTAAAAGAATATCACATATCAATTTAAATTAAAAATTTGAATCCGCAAAACGAATGAGGTCTAAATATAACTCTATAATTTAGCCTAAAAAAATCAAATTATATATTTTGAGATCTAGAGAGTGAGACCATGGACTAGTCCTTACTTTGTACTTGACCTTGCGTACGTGGGATATCCTTATTTTCTTGGAACGTGTTGAGGTTTTTTGCCTCTTTTGTCTCATTTTTCTTGTAATAATTAGTGAAGAAAACTACCATATACATAGATCGGAACTAACAGTATCCAAGATCAGTTATGGAGTTTCACATACAAAATTATCAAGTTGTATAGAAATAGGCTATACTACTATCATGTAGTTTTAGATCTTGATGGCTTTGTGATCTTCATGCAAACTTGTAAAGTATCTAATAACTTGTCTTCTATTACCCAACAAAGTAATCATTGACTCTTCAAAAATGTCCTAAGAATTACCCAAAATAAATAAATAAATTGTCGTTTCTTCTAGGTCCCACTGGCCCACAATGCAAACCATAGGTTGGTGCTCTTCCGAATTACATTGAGGCACGTGGATTTTGAAGTCCAAAAGTAGTAATAATTTCTTTGCAACTTGGAATGAGTAGTTGGGTATTCCAACCTTTTAACGAAAAAAAAAAGAGTAAAAGTTAGTGTTTATTCTTCCAAAAAGAAAAACTTAATGGTAATTTATGGTTACTATTCCCTTAAGTATGAGCTCATCAATCATTTATAACTATAATTATCTTCATATATAGTTTTCAGTCCAACATTTTGATTAAAAATAGAAGGAAACCCTCCCACACGTTTCTGTTAATTAAGCGCATTGATTCGAAGTCCTAACTATAAATAAGTTTGATTTTGAGGATCAAAAGTTGGGTGGAAGGTCCTTTTATTAGTCTGTTTTCCTCTTAATTTCGAAAATGATAATCCAACCGATGAAAATTAGAGAGTGATCAAGGATTCAAAGCTGAGGAATTCAAACATATTATATATATATATATATATATATATAAACACACGCACAAGACACACAAAATAGTATACATAGGACAATGGAGATCGACTGATAATATACATAAACTTATTTTGTTAATTAAATCAGTGTCGGTAGACAAAAAAGTAGTATGCATGCATACTAATTAAAGAAAAGGAATACAAGAAATAACACATGTAAAGGAAGATGAAATAATATTTCTACAATCATGATGTTGAAAATGCACTTTGTTTTGTATTAGAATCACAAAAAGAAATAAAAAGATTTCAGC